CTTTCCTGGTGTGCTGTTTGCCCCGCCTGACCTACTCTCCATCTTACTCTAAGCCCCTCTAAGAGGTGATCTGTGGGAAGGGCACCAATGAGCTTCCCTGGCTCTGGCTCCAGCTGAGAAAATGATACTAAGTTATATTTATAGGACTAAGTATATCCCGTATGCATTGCTTATCTGAAATTCAAGTGTAAAGGGAGTCCTGTTTTTTATCTGGCAGCCCTATGCCAATACTGTGTTTTATAGGCGAATTTACTTTCTCCAGTGCAGACATCTCTGGGTTTTCACTGCCTTTTCCTGGCGCCTGGGCTTTTCTCCTCCTGTTGCACCCCGACCTCTCAGGGCACTCGTGGTGGACCATTTACTTCTCTTCCTTCCAGACAGCCCCAGGCCGTTCTCGCCTGTGCTGACTCAAGTGTAACCACTTTCCCTTGCGGGGCACCTGGGGCAAATGGGAGGTTCTGAGTTGCTCTTGTCCCTCGAATGCCTTTTTTTCTTTAACTTTCTGCGAGTGGGCTGAGAGCATTCTCTCCAGTGAAGTTAATGATTACTACTTACAGTTTAGGAGTGTTTATCAAGCCAAGTAAGTTCTGGGTGAAGGTTATTTTTTTTCTCTAGCGAAGTATTGCTGTCAGTCAGGAATCCGTTGAGTTTGCATAAAGTCAAACAATGCTAAATAGAAAAATGTCTGTTTGTTCTGGGTTTGGCCTCAACTATCTGTGGGGGATGAGTGGGGAGTCCTTAATCTGGGTGACAGGGAAGCCGTCCAGGGACACCATTTAAATATCAGCTCACGGAATGGGGGTGGGGTCCAGCCCTTTCTCCTGGGAGAGCAGGGACACAGGTATTAATAGGATTCTGGATGCACAAAAAACCTTTCTGTAAACCAGAAACCTACCCCAGAAGGCCTTTCTCCTCCCACCCTCTGGGGGGCTACTTGATAGCAAGGAATGTCTGCAGGCAGTGAAGCCAGAGAGGAAACCTCCAAGCACCAGGGCTAAGCACACCCTCCTTGTGGACCGATATGCTCCAAATGCCCATGTGCGCCCACGTGTGCTACATGGGATGGGAAGCAAAGAGCCTCTCGGAACTCAAGAATAAGTCCTCACTCTTGCAGCCTCCTGTGGGCCTCCTGATTTGGAGGCTAAACTTCAAAGAGCTCAGCCAATTCCTTTGTCCATTTTGTTGCTTGGGAAGGTGTAGAAAGAGCAGGAGCGGTGAATCTGTCAGGCCCTTCCTTTTTCCAGCTGTGGCTGAGGGGCTACCTTTTTCTCTTTCTGGGTGCTCAGAATTATAGAGCAGGCTGATAACACCTGACACCCAAGCATGAGGTGAAAATGAACAAGTTCACCAACCAGCACCCTCATCCTACAGGGCTACCACCCTGCTCAGCCCTCTTCCCGCAGCTTGAAGGGTCTCCAGGGCTAGGGAGACTGCGTGCTGCCACCCCACCCTCTGCCCTGGGACTTGCAGTTTCGGATGCTGCTGCTTCCTTAGCCACCTTGAGCTGTGATCTCCAGACGTCAAGAAGATCCAAAGAAGCCCATGTTAGGAAAGCCTTGTGGAGGCCAACCGTAGAGGGGCTGAATGATTCCTTAGAGCCAAGAGCCATTTTACATCACAAGCCAGGCGTATATTTTTTCCTTTCACTCCTGGCTGGCAATTACATTGCTCTAGTATTGCCATTCCCCATACAATGTCCAAGAGAGACATCCCATTTAGACTCAGCCCTCATTCCCACAGAGCCCAGAACTATCCTCAAAAATTCCTGCCTCGGGTGGCCAGCAGGCCAGAGTTCAGGTGCAAGCCAATTACAACCATGTCAGCCAATATCTGTGGAGTATGCTGGTGGAAGCTATGTCTATCCGCTCCTATCACCACAGTCCTCTTGTCCTCACAGGGGTCCAGAGAGGTTAAAGAGCTTTCCCGAGGTCTTACCCCAAGGTGGTGAGGGACTGGGTAGCCCTTGGCCCTCTTACTGCAGAGCTACTAGCTAACCACTGAGCAGCACTGCCCACTTGCCATCACATACTGTACTCAGCAGATATTCATAGATTTAAGGGTGGGATGTATTAGGTGATAGCACAGTAATAGAGTTCCTTATTAGCATTCCCTAATTGACTAATTTTGAGTCTAAGAGACTAACTAGTCACAAACTCCCCAAATGTCTGAGCCACTGCAGTTGTATGTGGTGAAATGGGTACCCCTTCAGGGGCACACCAATAGTCCCACCAAGGTCCCCTCCCAGCCACATCAGTGTCCTTGCCTGGACTGCCTCTCTTTCCTGGTTACCCGTCAACCCTGTGCACATCATACGCATTTATTCAGAAGGTGGTCATTACATTTTGGCTCCACGCCATGCATCATACTGACTTCTGAAAATGTCACCTCCAGTCTTCAAGAGAGCTACAAACACATGTGTGCAGAAAGACAGGGCAAACTTTCATGGAACAATGGACACTATATGAATAACCTTTTGCTGATCATGTCCCACAGGCCTATGTATATGCTGGGCACTGGAGGAAGATGATGGAGACAAAATCCCTGACTTTAAGAAACTGACATTTGG